GTAGTGCACCACTCAGATGTTTAACAACTTTTTTTAATATGTAGAAGAAGAACTTTAGAAACCTGCTGAGAATGGAAACTTATTTTAAATGAAAAGTATAAGCAAAAATGAAAGTAACTCATTGCAAAAGGTTGCAAAAGTTTAAAAAGGCTTTATTTTCATTTGTACTTTATCAAATTTATGTTTACAGGTTTTTTTTAATTTGAATTATTTACATTAAACAGTTTTAATTTATTTATTTTATGCCCACAATTTTATTTTTTGAATTGTCTATTTTTGTTATTGTTTATGTTTATGTATATATATGTGCTGATAAGCCTGAGTGGTCTGTTGACTGACCTTTGTATTTGTTCAAATAATTGTTATTGGCAGGTTACAATATAAAATGTTTGTCATAATCATGTCTTGTGATTGATTATTTGAGAGTTTTACTTTTAAACTGTAAGTTTATTCAATCATGTTAGTTATAGTTTAGTTATAATGTAAATACAATAAAAATTAAACCAAGATTTAGAATAATTATCATTTTGATCCGTACATTGGTAACGTGTGACTGGGCCTCGTGCCTCTTTATGTTCAACAAATTGGGCCCAGAGGTCAAAAAAGGTTAAGAACCCCTGGTTTACATCATTCACACAGAAAGCTTGGCAGTATAAATAAATTTGTGATATCCTTTAAATTTATTTTTAATATAGATTTTTTTTTTCATTTTTAAAAACTTACAGCTTACAATATTTTAGTCTCATTATATTCGAAGTTAAAATTGATCAAATAACGTCTGATGTTGCAAGCAGTTGAAGATCCCTTTAAAGCATTCAGACAGATGTGTCCCTCCTACCATTGTTAATCAGAACATGGAGAGGCAGACCTCTGTCTCTGAACGCCTGGACAAACCGTCTAACTGATGTCAGTGATGTCAGGTCCACAAAGACAAACTCAGCTTGAAGAAGAAAAAACAAACATGTTTATTATCAAGCTTCATCTTGTAACAAAAGATGAGATGAATGACACAGACAGATGCAGGCTCGGGTACCTTTTCCTTCGCTGCATTCTTTGTTTATCCTCCTGACGGCAGCAGAGCCTTCTTCTCTTTCGTTCCCAGCTGAAGATGATCACAGAGAGGCTCAGTGGGTGGATGTTTACCTGGTGATGCTTTAAAACTAAAAACAGCTGCCTTCACTGACTCATGACATCAGCTACATCTGAAACTAAATACTTTTCAAGTTTTAAACTCCCATTTAATTCCTGTTTACAGTCCTTTCACCAATGACCATAACTGTAAACATAAATATAAGACCAGTTAATTACAGCATTGATTTATCATTAGCAAGGGTGGGCACAGCTAATCAAGAAGTTAACTCCTAATTTGTTAGCTGAAAGTATAATTTTGCTAAAGATTAACATGTAAAAAATAAGTAGCAGAAGCTAACAGCTAATTGCTAACTACAAACAAATCTGTTAGTCTGAGTCGCATGTCTTCGTGCTAAACCATTAAACATAAACAAAAAAGTAGCAGAAGCTAACGCTAAACTAGTAAAATTTTACAGAAGCTAATGCTAACAGCTTATCGCTAACCTCTAAAACAACTGTCACTCAGGCTGTGTCCAAATTCAGAGGCTGGGTCCTCTATAGGACCAGGCCTAACCTGTCTAGGTGGGCCAGGTCCTTGGTAGACTGTGAAGTCTGGGAAAAAGTGTCTGTGAATTTGGATGGTCTAGTCTCCCGTCCTTACCCCCGCATACATCCTGTCTCCTCGCAAATGTGACGATGCTAAACACAAGCAAAATTAGATCAAAATTAGAAAAATATCAATATATTAGTGTTACTAATAGCACAAAACAACAAAATTAAGTTAAAATGATCCCCGATTAGTTGTAACATTAGACTTTATTTGATAAACATTTATTTAAAAATAAAGACTGTAAAAATACTGTAGGATATTTAGTTTTGTAAATTTTAAAAATATATATTTTAACACAGATGGAGCCATTTTATTTACACACAAAGCATTCTGGGTAAATGATGACATCAACTAAGTCATCGGTGCGAGGCTGTTAGCGAGCTACAGTGTATCCACCCTGAAGGTTAATCTTGGATAATATCTGATGATCG